CAAAAAGAACATAAGCATCAGCATTCTATAGGGAGATCCCTACCTTATTGGGCTTCATTATAAGGGGGTCTATATGGGATATCCCTATCCTAATTTTTGCTTCTGTGCTTGTTTTGGGCCCTAGATGCACGATGACCGGACCCTAAACCCTAAACCCTAAACCCCTAAGCCCCTAAACCCTAAACCATAAGCCCGAACCCTGCAGCATGGCATGGAAGAGTCTGGGGTTTAGGGTTTAGGGTTTTAGGGTTTAGGGTTTAGGATTTCCCAGAGCCTCCAAAACCCTTTAACTAAGGAATAGACCTTAAAGTATAATCCCCTTGGATAACGAATATACCTTAAATTATATTCTTCTTGACTAAGGAATAGACTCCCCCTGATTAAGGCATATACCTTAAATTACAATAGGGACGCTGATAACATTTAAGGTAGGGTTCCCTCTGCCCTAATTCCCCCCTAAACCGCCAGAACTCACAACTGCAGTTGTTGGTTTTTGCCCCCTCAACCCTAAACCCTAAAGCCCTAAACCCTAAACTCTCGGTCCCTGGGTCACCCTACGCCAAAGCCACAAGCTAGAAGCACTAAGCTATGCACCCTCATCTCTATGCTGTCTCTACTTGTGCCATGACACCACGAGCTCGGAGCGGAGGAAAGTCTGGATTTATTTAGGGTTTAGGGTTTAGGGTTTAGGGGAAAGTTGAGTTTTTAGGGTTCGCTGCCTCTGAAGGCCAAGCAGCCTAATATTCCGTATAAGCCCTTTCAGGGGGCTTGTTCTTTTGAAACCTGGTTGAGTTTAAAGACAACCTATGAGTTGAAGGCCTGTTCAGGGTTTGGTCTTGGCAAAGTCTAGTAGAAAGAGGGAACCCGAATCCACAAGCCCTGCGCCCTGCATACAAACCCTAAGCCCCAAACCGTAATACCCTAAGCCCTAAACCCTAGAACCTAGAACCCTAGATGCCCTAATCTACTAGAGCAGCTCAGGCCCTCTTAGCCCACGTACTGTAGACGCAACAAGTCTTATTCTGGGGACCATAATGTTCGGAAGCCTTGTGCACCACATCCGCCTGAACTCGTCCAGTAGTACTATTCCTTCGTGTCCCTCCGTTCAATACGTGTGCATATATATATATATATATACACATACATACATACATACCTACATACATACATACATACATACATACATACATACATACATAGATAACAGATAAGAGAAATGGATAGATAGGTAGATCGATTAGAAAAGAATAGATTAGAATAGAACGGAATGTAATTATAGAATAGAACAGAACATAATTGACTAGAGTAGGATAGGATAGAATAGACTCACCCTAAACCCTAAACCCTAAGCCCCCAAGACACTAAGAATCCGTCCTCCCCTTGCCAGCAGGATCTCATGGTGCCGGCGGAGCCGCAAGGTTCGACCGCGCCGCCGGCGAGGAGGATCGCTTGGCTTCTTTAGGGTTTAGGGTTTAGGGTTTAGGGGGATGTTTTGGGGTTGAGGGTTGAGGGTCTTGGGGCTTTATGACGTCTACGGTTTTAGGATGTTTTTGGGGTTGGGGGTTGAGGGTCTTGGGGTTTTATGACGTCAGGATTTATGGGTTTTCGGGGTTGAGGGTCTTAGGGTTTTATGACGTCAGGATTTATGGGTTTTTGGGGTACTTGTGTAGAGGCGTGCGTTTCTAGACTGTTTGGAGTGTTAGTGTCTTAGGGATTTCATCTAAGTTTAGGGTTGGAGCAAGTTTTGCGGTTAGGGTTTCGGGTTGTAGGGTTCAGGATTATCGAGTTCAGGGCTACGGGCTGTAGGGCTGGGGAGGTTCTGATTTTAGTTTAGTGTCTAGGGCTGGCTGAAATGGGGACTTAGGCACGATCAAAAAAGAGCGGAGGATTACGTGGGGGGATGGTTTGCCGGGGATCTTTCGTTGTGCTGGTTCACATCATCGGTATTAATTGCATACATACTTGCTTATCATTCAATATGGATGCGCACCAGCATCCCACCCCTCCAATATCCCTGGTAACTGGTGCTGGACCGTGCATAATCTTAGTAATAAGAGCTGTTTTATTACTGGCCTTATTATGCTGATGCTTTGTTAGTCTTAATTTCCTCGGCGCAGTCTTCCTAGATCCAAACCCTGAATCCTTAGCCTGGACCTCTGGAAACACTTCTTGAACCTTTCTGGGGCCTTGGAATCAAGTTTGCCAAGGTTTGATTGGGGCCGAGTAAAACTATCAACTGTAAGTATCTCACGATGAAGGTTGTTTGGCATCACCTTTGAAGGGGTATGCGCCAACGGCCCCGTTTAGGGCCTCAGAATATACTACACAGGTACATGCATCCTTAGGGTAAGTAGGAGACCCTCAAATCCCAACATGGCCACCCCTTTTCGACCGCTGTACACCGTCGTAGAACCCTACGACCTACGAAACCCAGTGACAAATCTGCAACGAATTTGACAAAGCCCCAAGAAAGCCCTGTGACCCTGAACCCTAAACCCTCTCTCAAGTAGAAGCCATATGGTTGGAACACTGGAGTCCTCATGCCCCTGATGTAAAGTATAAGGGATTCGAGCACAAATCATCCTACACCCATGTTCCAACTTTCTTGGGTTTGGGGTAGAAGCGCAAAAGGCTTGTGCTCTAAACCCCAAGCCCTCAACCCTAAGCCCATAGGGCTTGTGCTCATGTTGTCTTTGGGTCCCTGTTTGAGGAATGCAGTGCCGCTGGAAGAGGCCGGGTTACCACTCACAGGGTTTAGGGTTTAAGGTTTAGGGTTTAGGGTGACTCACAGGGCCACAAGAAATTACATAGGATGGGGATATGTCCCCTATAAACCCCCTTTACGTATAATGAAGCCCAAGGAGGTCGGAATATCCCTACAACATGCTTATGCTTATGTCCCTTTTTGGGGTCCCTAAACTCACTTTACCCTTCCTAAGGCTGCCAGAAAGATCCCTTACTTGGAGGGTCGGGGGAGTTAGTAAGTAGTTATTTTGCAGACTTATAAGTATCATAACCCCAGTTAGGACCCCTTTTAGGGGACTTATAAATCTACTTCTTACCTACTTACTAAGTCCCCCGACCCTCCAAGTAAGGGTTCATCAGGGCTCCTTTAACAAGATAAGGGTAGGGGGATATCGGGTTTTAGAAGGTTCTGGAGCCGCTCTACAAAGGTTTCTATAAGGAGCTTCGGGTCTAATAGCGCCCTAAGTTTAAAGCTTTTGGGGTCTGGGGCGGCCTTGTTTTCAGGATCGTAAGAGACCGAGTAACCCAAAATATGGGTCCTGGTTGAAATAGAAAGGCTACAGTCCCTAAACCCTAAACTCTAAACCCCAAACCCTAAACCCAAACCCCTATAGGGGCCCCGAAGGTTCCGCTAAGGGATTAATGAGTCAGGGTTCCATAATTAATAGTGATGCCTTTGGGGGTGTAGGATTTTGGATTTAGTAGGGTTCAGGGTTTAGGGTTTAGGATCGTTCAGGGTCTATAAGGATAAGAGGGACTTTAACCCTCAGGGTGCAAAATGGTCCAAAGGACCTCGTAATCAGGAATCGGTCATCTGAGGGCGCCGTGTCCCCAGGGTGCTCATGTCATCCAGGACGCCGAAACCCACGACCATGGGCAATCGTCTTGGCTGCCGCCGTCAAGTCACAACTTCTGCGCTGCGGCCTCCAGCTGCTTCGGAAACAGTATCGCAGAAAACCCTAAACCCTAAAAACCCTAAACCCTTAAACACGAAAAAACCTAAAACTCTAAACCCTCAACCCTAAAACCCTAAACCCTAAACCCTAAAACCCTAAACCCTAAAACCCCTAAAACCCCTAAAACCCTAAGCCCTAAACCCTAAAACCCTAAAGCCTTAAACCCTAAAGCCCTAAACCCTAAGGCCCTAAAGCCCTAAGAAGAGGACCTCATGGAGCTGCTGGCGACAGGCCCAGTGGAGGGCGACCATGTTAATGGAGCGGCTGAGGAGCGGCTGAGGGCGCAGGGGCCACCATGAGGAGCTCCTCCCACGAGGCCTCCCCTTAATTAGTTAGAGCCTTCGGGGTTTAGGACTTAGGGCTTAGGGCTTTGGGTTTGGGTTTAGGGTTCAGGGTTCAAGGCGCACGATGCAATGCAGAGGGCTTCGGATGCAAGTTTCAAAGTGAGAAAATGGCATTTCGTGAGCAGTTTGGCTCGGGACCGTGGCAGACGGAGTGCTTTACTTTCCAAGCATTCAGCAGCTCCAGGCTGAGCCAAGTAGGGCTTCCGACGACGGACATGCTGCGTGTGCTGAAACAGGAATAGGGGTGACTGAGTCTGGTTGTATTGGGGGAAGTGCAAGTAGTTAGGTGCCCGAGTAATTACCTACATTATTTGAGGGGGGGCTCCTCATTATATTTTTATCATAATATACCCCGACAAAACCCTCTTCTAATTATTAAGGCCCCTCCCCACAAAAGCCGCCCCAGACCAATCCCTCAGTCGAATCGGCATTCTGACTACACGACAGTGTAGGAGGAAAAGAGGGGCCAACAAAAAACGTCGCAGGGTGTTTGTTTAAGGTGCCTTCGTTAGGACTTATAGGGTTTAGAGTATTTACCTTAAATTTGAAACCCTTAAACCCTAAACATCCCGACACTCTAAAACTCGAAATACTATGAACCCTAAAACTAGCACTTCAAAAAATAGCACCCTAAGACTCGAAACCCTAAAGCTCGAAACACCCAAACTTGTAACCCTAAGACTCGGAACCCTAAAGCTCGAAACCTAAAACTCGAAACCCTTGAACCCTAAACTCGAAACCCTTAAACCCTAAACCCTAAGCCCTAAAAACGGCTCTTTGAAGAAACAAGCCCTAAAACTCGAAACCCTAAAGTTGGAAACCCAAAATAGCTTCAATCCTTTAGAGTAATGTATACGGAATCCCCGCATCTGGTTTCCAATCTTTTTGGTTTTACTATAGAACCCATTGTAGAGCTTTTTTTGGTTTAGCTTATTTTGTATTCAGGATCCAAAAGGGTAACCCCAAAAACGGAACTAGTCCTAAACCGTAAAATCCTAAACCCTAAGCCCTGAACCCCAAACCCCTAGACCCTGAATCTCAAACCCCAAACCCCAAACCCCAAACCCTAAAGTCCTAAACCCTAAACCCCTAAAATCCCTAAACCCTAAACCCTAAAACCCCTAAAACCCCTAAAGCCCCTAAAACCCCTAAACCGCAGGTGTTCGCCCCTCGTGGGCCTTCCCCTCCCGTGCGGCCCGTCATCCGAGGGCTCCGCGGCCTCTGCTTCGCCTACAGATCCTAAGTTTAGGGCTTATGGGGTTTGGGGTTTAGGGTTTAGGGTTTAAGGTTTAAAGGGCTCATAGGGTTTATGAGTTCAGGGCTTTGGGGGTTTAGGGTTTAGGGATTATAAACAGATCCTAAGTTTAGGGCTTTTGGGGTTTAGGGTTTAGGGTTTAGGGTTCTTCGCCTGCAGATCCTGAGTTTAGGGCTTTTGGGGTTTAGGGTTTAGGGATTATAAACAGATCCTGAGTTTAGGGCTTTTGGGGTTTAGGGTTTAGGGATTATAAACAGATCCGAAGATTAGGGCTTATGGGGTTTAGGGTTTAGGGATTACTTAAAGGATCAGGGGACTTAGTAACCGAGGATATAATTAAGATAATTTTACTTTTTGTTATACTTATAACCCCAATCAAGGTATTTATAACCCTACTTACTAAGTCCAAAGATCCTCCAAGTACAGATCCTAAGTTTAGGGCATTTGGGGTTCAGGGTTTAGGGTTTATAGGGCTTCAAGGGTTTATAGGGTTTAGGGTTTACAGGGCTTATAACCCTTATAGGGCTTATGGGGTTTAGGGTTTAAGGGGCTTAAAGGGCTTAAAGGGTATATAGGGTTTTAGGGCTTAGGGCTTCTAGGGCTTATAGCGCTTATAGGGCTTATGGGGTTTAGGGTTTGAGGATTAGGGTTTATAGGGCTTAAAGGGTTTATAGGATTTTAAGGTTTAGGGTTTATAGGGCTTTTAGCGCTTATAGGGCTCATGGGGTTTAGGGCTTGCAGGGTTTATAGGGTTTAGGGGTTATCGGACTTATATAGGGTTTCTGGGGTTTAGGGTTTTTACGGGTTTAGGGTCTAGGGTTTTGGGGATTAGGGTTCATGGTTGAGGGATTCGGGGTCCTATGGTTGATGATACAACAAACCCTGCATGGCCCAAAATAAGGATCAGACCATAATTCCCATAGTTTGGGGTCCCTACAGCGAATCCCAGAAAAAATGGGACATAGGCTCAGGAGGATAAGTGCTAGGATCCCTTATACTTTACCTTATAACTTATAAGGGCATGAGGATATTGATGTTCCATCTTTCTGGCTTCTACTCTAAGCCCTAAACCCTAAACCCGAAACCCTAAATGCTAAACCCTAAACCCTAAACCTAAACCCTAAACCCTAAACCCTAAACCCTAAACCGTATTTGTCTGCTTGGAATCTTATTGTTGGAGCTTCCGGGGATGGGTTCAGTAGGTCATACTGGGCCTTTGTCGCGCCTCCCTAAACTTAGATAGCCAATGGGAGAACTTTAAACTTTTTGTCCCCATATATTAGATCTATCCTAAAGAAGCGAGTCAACCCCTACTATAGGGGCCTCAATAATTACCTATATTATTCTGGTGGTTTCTTAGTATAATTGTCTTATAACCCCCAAAACCCTATTCCTACATTACACCCTAAACCCTGCTCTAAAGGTTTTCATAGGCTTTCTAGACGGGGGGTTAGGGTGGGGGACTTGCTAAGTCTCGGGGTTAAAGTAGACTCATGTTTAGGATAAGCCCTATTGGGGGTACCCATGCCCAGTGTATAGCTGACTTACTCATTCCCTTGATCACTTCTTCAAGTAGGCGGTGAAGGGTGTAGGACTCTGCGAACAACGGGACTGGGGCAACCCTAAACCCTAAAACCTTAAACCCCCTACGCCCCTAAGCCGCTAAACCCGTAAACCCTAAACCTAAACCCCCAATTCCTAAAACCCTAAACCCTCAGCCGCTTAGGGCTGTAGGGGTTTAGGTTCTGGGGGTTCCGAGGGGTTTAGGGCGTGAGGGTCCATGTACCCGAATAGTAGATACATTAGCCTTAAAAGCAGTCCTTACATGGTCACTTTAGGGCCCGGGTATATACTAGTTGGGCAATTGGACCCTTAGGCCTTACCTTAGCCCAAAGTAACCTATCTTGTTAAGGACTTATAAAAAAGGAAAATCATATTAAGGAAGCCTAAGCAGGTAGCTTGTTTAGGGTCCAGGTAGGCATATCCTCTGTACACATAACATCAAAACCCTTTGGTCTTACCAAACTGCTTGGAGAACAACACACTTCCTTCACCCTCAACCCTAAACTCTAAACTTCCTTTCTCCCACACCCCACCAAACCCCACGAGCTTTGTTGGGTGTCATAGTCTGAGGATATTAGAGAACTGTCCCGTAGGGTTTAGGGGTTTAGGGGTTTAGGGGTTTAGGGGTTTAGGGGTTTAGGGTTTAGGGGTTCAGGGGTTTATTTAGGGTTTAGGGTTTAGGAATGGTTCCGCTAGTTATTCAGGCCGCTGTATAGGACCAGCAAAGCCTCTTCACAGCCGCGTGCTGCCCTCCGCATGGCTGTCATGTCGTACATCCCTGCCCCGGCGAACCCTAAAGCCCTAAACCGGAGGCAGCCACATTGTCAAGTTGCGGCGTTAACAACAAAGTGCGCCCTATCCCGGCGCCAACGCAGGTGTGCTCGGCTTCCTCTCGTGTGGATGCCATGCATTCCGTGAGCATCTTCATGAATGGCAGGAAGGAGGCGAGGTTCGTCATGAGCGGTCATGAGTCAGTGGCTTAGAAATGTACATTTCCCGACTCTGAGTCTGAATCCTACCCGCTCCCCAAGATCAGAAAGTTTGCCGGGAATCACGTGTGCTTCTGTGATATATCAAACTGCGTGCACCATGGCCAATCAGGAGGGGCCATGCCCTGCACAAATGGAGGACGATCGCCGTCGAAATGTTCGACGACAAGGTCGTCGAAGTGGAAGTCGACCAGGAGTGGTTTTCTTAGTTCCCCAATACCCAGCCTTTAAGCTTTTTGGGTTCTTAGAATTTAGTAGTAACCCTAAAGTTTAACCTTTTATTTCCTTGGCTATTTGGGGAAGTAAGTAGTCCACGTTGTCAGAGCAAGAGCACATCCTCTTTGCGGTGAAGGTGCAGGAAGCGGGGTTTAGGGTTTAGGGTGTAGGGTTTAGGGCCGCCACAGCCAGACTGCATGCTTAGCTAATCGTCACTTCACTTCTTGTGTTGGGTGGTTCGCACTCGTAATGTAGGAGCCTGGGGTATAATATCGCCTATACACGTCAATAGTTTTACTGAGACAGTCTTGGTAATGATCCAGGCTCCTATATTATATTACCCGCTAAATCCTAAAACCCTAAACCCTAAACCCTTAAATCCTAAGACTTAATAAGTAGATAGCAACTAGACTTATAAGTGCACCCCAAAAGGAACCCTAATTGGGGGTTTGATACTTCGACGCCCATAAGATAACTAGTTACAAAGCCTCACACTCCCTCGCATAGAACCCGCATAGATCCGTTAGGGATCCCTTTAAGGAGCCCTTTAAGGAACCTTGCTTACCAAGTCCCTCGACCCTAGTAGCAACCCAAGGCTTATCTCGGACGTCATCGATGAAATGAGGGCTCCTCCCTCCTACCAGGATCCAGCCGAGGTCTGCGTGCGGTTTAGGGATGTTTAGGGTTTACTTGGATGATCTTAGGACTTAGTAAGCAGTGTTATAAGTACCCTAATTGGGGTTATAAGTAAAGTGACCTTGTTTGTAACCTCAGTTCCTAAGTCCCATGATCCTTTAAGTGGGAGTTAGCGCTAAGGGTCTGAGTGCCTAATAATCATATACTCTTCTGAACACTAACCTACAAAGCTACTATCCGTCACCCAAGTATATGATTATTAGGTCCCTTGGACCCTTAGATAAGAAACCGTAGTAAGGATCCCTAAAAAGGTAGGTTCTTTAGGGTCCAGGTAGGGGTTAGGGCCGGCTAGGGCTTGGGTTTAGCCCTAAACCCTAAGCCCTAGACCCTAAACCCTAAACCCTACACCCTAAACCCGAAGGGTTTGGGCTTAGGATTTAGCTTACATTCCTGAAGCCCACGATCCCCCAAAGTGCGAAAGCCGTACAGCCCCGCAACCCCGAACCGTGAGGCCCAAGCCTTTAAAGTTTAGGGTTTATGTTTAGGGTTTAGAATTTAGGGTTTACGGGAAAGGGTTTAGGGCCTAAGCCTTGAAAGCCCCAGCGACAGCGACGGCCCCAATGTAGGGAGTAGGGGCCTGAATAGTTAGAATAGGGTTTTGGGGTCCTTGATGGTAGAACTATATGGAACCCCCAAAATAGTATAGGTAATTATTTAGGACCCTACAGTATGCAACACTCCCCAAATCCATTAACACTCTAAACCTTAAATTCCTCGAACCCAAACCCATAGAGCCTACGAGCAAAAGCCTAGATCTTACGACACAGTGACCCTAAGGGAGCATAAGCATACGGACCTTTGGGGTATGAGACTGCTTTAAACGGGATTCCAGCAAAAAAATAATGTCTGAGATCTTTCTTACATGAGGGACAGTCAAAAGTCTCCGAACAGTAAACTAGTCTAGGGGAGGCCCTTGCAAAAAAACTACCCCCAGCTTAAAGACCTATAGCTCAAGACTGTTGTTTCGAGCATTTCTGCGACTAGTCGCACTACTACTAGTGCTGCTGCTAGTGGTACTGGTATTGGTACTACTACTGCTACTACTACTATTACTACTACTACTACTACTACTACTACTACTACTACTACTGCTACTACCACTACTACTACTACTACTACTACCACTACTACTACTCCTGCTGCTACTACTACTACTACTACTACTACTACTACTACTCCTACTACCAACATCACCAAAAAGCAAACACATTTCATCACCTTTCATCACCAACATCACCAAAAGTACTGTACATACCGA